ATCACAACTGTCAACAGAAGCCATTGTTTTGCAGCTGTCAGTATATAATCCATGCAGTCTGGGGAAAACCTCTATGAAAAGAAGCCATGGGATAACCAAGTTATGGTAAAGAAGTCAAATGGGCCCCATTTACATTTGAACTGCATTTTATTTTTTGGGCCCTATGTTTTAGCTTTTGTACAGGCATTGTTGCAAATGTTTAAAGGGGAGCGCCAGCCAAAAGGGGAAGCTCCGCTTGTCTGCCTCCCCCACCCCTCCACTGCCACATTTAGCACTTTTTGGGAGAAGAGGGTAAAGGGTACCCGGTTTTGACCAGGTTTTGGTTCGGCCCCCTACTTCCCCCCACAGTCTTCTGGGAAACTTCACAGGTCCCATAAGTCTTCAGGACCAATCTCAAGGTGAAGCACGACCCGCACATGCGCAGTAGGAAACCAGCGGTGAAGCTCACTTGTGCAGGGAACCCAGAGGCTAGTGAACGGTATGTGTATTTGCTGACTTTGAATTTTTTGGGGGGGAGCCTGGACCTCTTTAAAACGGAGTTCCACCTGTATTTTAAAAGTCAGCAGCTACAAAAACTGTGGCTGCTGACTTTTATAATACAGTCACTTACCTGTTCCTCAGTCCAGCGGTGTCATCACCACCGCACTGGTTTCACCGACCATCTTCTCTCCCTGGCGCCGGCATCTTCAGTGTGGGCACCCGGCTGTGACAGCTTGCGGCTTCACAGCAGGGTGCCCACTATGTATGCGTAAGAAGCACTGCGCATTGTGAATGGCCCTGTGGTCTTCTGGGACCTGTCATGTGACTGGGGCAGCGGCCATTTTTTTGTACTGTTGAATTGTTGGTCGAGGGGGCACACTGGACACCTTAGCTGCCATTGTACTACATGCTGGATGTCCAGTGCGCTCCTGTATCTTTAAGAAGGGGTGAACTCCCTCAGGTCCATCTGCCCTTGGTCTATCCATTAAATACATGTGCCTCTACTATGGGGGCTCTTAAAATTGGAGAGTTAGGAACTACAAAATACTGGGGGGCTCTGTAGCTTACGCATGTGTTTGCAAATCTGTGCTAATTAAACCCCTTTTTTAACGCATTCTGTTAGGTTAATTTAGTTTGTTTGCAAGCTGGCTGGAAAGTTAGAGCTGAGAATTTTTCTTTTTTGTTGTTTGTTTCACTCAGGACCTGGGGAGCACTGAGACAAAACAGCCAGTTAGTGTATAGGAGGTGGTTGGAAGGAACCAAAAATACTCCTGCTAAAGAATAAGTATAGAATTGCCTCCTTAAAGAGAAACTGAACTGTGAACGCTGTGCCAAAAAAAATAAATAAAGACAGGCATAGAGCAAAGGATTAGCCACAAGTATTGCCTGTGGTCTCCCTGTTGCCAGTATCTTTATTGTCTTTTCACCATTACTGACTCCACACTGCCTCTTTGTAGAGGCTGTTATGATCCGCCAGGTGGTGCCTCTGGCTGCCCACTTGACAGACCTACCCAAAGCGTGGAGTCTAAGTCCCGGTCTGTGCTTTCACCAGGGCCCCTGATGGTGGGGATGGACTTGAAACAGACCAGGACCAGGTCACGACCTCTGAGCAGGCCCACCAGTGGCAGGGGGAACCTCCGGGGATGTATTGGTACCGGGAGAGCCAGATGTGAGGAGGACGTCAGGACCTAGCAGGATGGATCGCGAGCAGTGGTCCCGTGGGGTAGGCGAGGTACAGAATCGGCAGGCGGAGAATCGGCAGGTCACACACAGGGTCAGCAGGATAAGTCAGTCCGTAGATAGGTCAAACAAGCCGGGGGTCAGGATGGGAGAAGGCAGAGTAGTCAGGAACAATCCGGGTCAAACGCAGGAGAAGGCAGAGTAGTCAGGACAATCCGGGTCAAATACAGGAGAAGGCACCGTAGTCAGGGTCAATCAGGATCAAAAACACAGGTACAGGACTCAGGAACTCAAATAGACCTTGCGGCGATCAGTGACAGTACAGGGCATCTTTAAATATCGCGCCCTGCACTGTCATTGGCCGCCCAGGACGCGCCCCCGGGCTGTCATTGGCCGCCCGAGGCGCGCCCGCGGCTCTCACTGCGCATGCGCGGCGTCCTGTCATCCGCGGCTCGCCGGGACCTGGTGCTTGTGTCCCGGCGTGAGCCGTTGCCAGCGCGCATGCGCCGGCCGACAGGGCGCCACGATCCCTGACAGAGGCGGTCTTCTTGGTTGAGGCAGGGCTTTGGTTTCTCATGTCAGAGCTGCTCCTCTTTTGAGTGGTTACAGGATATTCAAGAAGTAGTAGAAGAAGTGGAGGAAGCACAGATCCACAGAATGAATGAAGCAGAAGCAGGGAGATCCTTGCGCTGAAGGTCCTCAGGTACAACTTCCTTCCTACAGGGATAACAGTTTCAAAACAGTGTCATACATTGATACGCAGGCTGAGAACTCTTGCCAGCAACATGTGTATGACCCCAGCTTGGTTTCAAGACAATGTGTCTTCTACCTACCTGTGCATGATCCCAGCACTACTACTTTCCAGACCTGCTCTACTACAGGTTCTGCACTGCATCATCCAGCCATGGGTGTACAAATTTCCAGGTACAGTTCCTCCTGGGGTATCTCTGAGATTCCCATCTGCTGCCTGGATACCATTCTTGTCAACCAACTCCACAGGCAACTATCAACGACCTGGATCCCCGGGTGTGCCTTGCACACCTTCCTCCGTATCCAACAGTTTTCAGTCCAGAGACACAAGGGAAGCCCTCCACTCCAGCTCACTTCGGCCTCCAACCAGGTGCAGGACAAACAGTGAAAGGTACTGTACTGAGAGCATCAAGTCTCATGCCACATCTACTGAGACTAGCAGTCAGAGATGGCAGTTCCCAAGGTGACCTAACCCTACAGATATAGATTTATGAGGCTCAAGGCATAGAAATGCCTAGGCACAGAAAGCTCAGGAGAAATTCAAAACAAAAGGTACATTTTAAGGGTACTGTGTCCTAACATCACTTACAGCATAATAAATATTCATCCTTTTCAATTCAAGTCCACTTTAAAGGGAACTTGTAGTGGTGTTGTATTTAAAGTGTTAATAAACCCAGGACCCCGTATTCACTATATCTGGTATCTCTCAGCACACAGAACATGGAAGTCCAATTATTTTAGTAAACATAAACTGCTAAATAGCTTTTCTCATCAGCAGTTAGAGCAGTCTTCAGACTTCTATCAGTGTCCAGCAGAGCACATGTTAAAGCTTGTAGAAGGAGTTTTCATTCTGCTGTAGGAGTATGCAGAACCCCTGACCTTTGTCTGGACAGCGCTGATTGGCCCTGTGCTGGACACATGCACTCTCCCAAGAAAAAAAAACCTCTCTAGCAATACACACCAAACTGAACATGTGCAGAGTGTCTCCACACTATGTCTTATAAGGCAATAAGAGGGGGACACTGGAAGAATTAAAGGATCATAGAAGTCAGGATCAAACAGCTTTTTACACAATGCAGAAGGTTAACCCCTTAGGTTCCACAGTGAGTATAACAAGCATGCTTTACTGCATATACAGACTGATTATACTGTTGTGGGTTTAGTAACACTGTAAGACACACATTGTTAGCCAGAGGTGAAGGGGCTATCTAACCAGACTTGCAATAGCTTGTCAATTCTTTTTGGACACCCCCTGTTCCTGTAGGTGCCCTTATATAACGGGATAATTTGGTTAACCAACCCTTCCAGTAAGGTAAAGAGGGAACCTCAGGTTTTTTCCAGTATAAAATTAAGGCTTTGCGGGGATAAAATAGCAGAAGGCTAATCAAGGTGCTACTACTTTCTTATTTATTTTCTTTCTCATTTATTATGACTAAAAATATTTTTAAACAAGTTTTCTTTTCTGTTAGGTAAATACGACATATCGCATGTGAATAGTTTGCATTCTCATTTCCAGACAGTAGGTGGAGCTCTTGGTTTTGGTTTGTGTGTTTTTCCAAGGTGTTGTTATCTACTTTTCTGAAAAAATTCTGTTGTTTACAGGACTCAGTAGCTCAAGTGAAAGTGTGCATGCTGAACTGAATGACCCTCTTAGGCCCCTCCTCCTTCTTCCCTTTTTAGAAATGCACTGGTTTCAGTTTGATCCAATAGTTAAAATTCCAATAAATAATTTTTATTATCTAGAAAACCGTAATGGTATGTACTTCCCATGTTATGGATGTACCTTGTATTACATGTTTATTAAATGTTTATTACATGTTTATTTGTAAAACACAGTACATATAAATAAAATATATAACACATGCTTGGAACACACTCCTTTCATTAGCGTGCAGTAAAGGAGATGGCTCTCTGAAGGTCAAGCAACTGGAACTTTTAACTTTTAGGTAAGCTTAAAAATAGTCTTGACCCTGACATGGTGGGTAAAGGAAATGCTACTGTAGCAATGCAGCATCACGCATCCTGAAATTCATCTTTATTAAATGAAAATTCACTGCTTTTGTAAATTAGATTTATTTTCACATTTTATTTGTAGTCTCATTTTTTTTTAAATAATAATAATACATCATCTGTCCAGTAGATTACAGCAGCCTGCTCTACTACATACACAGAGCATGAGAGCCATCTTCTATAGGAAGGATGGATGTTAATGGGTCTCAGTGTGTTTAAACTAATAGACATGTTTCCAGAGCAAGGACACTGCAAGTGACAATCTACAGCCATTTATAACTTACTGCTGCACAGATTTTCTTCCAAAGCAATCCTCTGAGGGAACCGATCGCAACACAACGTTCTGGCGGTTCTGGCCAATCTGCAGAGACTGAGAAAAACAAGCTATTAGTGAAGTCTGCAGGGACTGTATAATTATCAGTCAGGACTTGCCAGGTGATCGAGCTCAGGAAAGTTCCTCCTCCTACTGTTCTAGAATATTTAAAGCCACAACTCAACAAATCCCCAAAGAAAAAACAGTTTCTTGCCTGTGATATCTTTATCATGTAAATATGACTAAAGGCGATGGACCTATGTAATTGCCTATGAACATGAGAACAGTCATGTGGTTGACATTTGGGTTTCAACATATTTCCTCTAAAGTTTTAAAGGACACTGCTATAAAATGTAGGAAATGTTACACTGGAGCTCTAGGTCAATATTTCTCAACCTTTTTTTAAGTCAAGGCACCCTTTAAAATTATGGACAAAGTCAAGGTTGTCCTCTAAAATTGTGGACAGTCCCGAGGCACCCTTTACCCTTGAAAATTATGGACAGTCCCGAGGCACCCTTTAAAATTATGGACAGTCCCGAGGCACCCTTTAAAATTTTATTATGGACAGTCTTGAGGCACCCTTTAAAATTATGGACAGTCCCCGAGGCACCCTTTGAAATTATGGACAGTCCCAATTATGGACACCCTTTAAAATTATGGACAGTCTTGAGGCACCCTTTAAAATTATGGACACTCTTGAGGCACCCTTTAAAATTATGGACAGTCCCGAGGCACCCTTTAAAAATATGGACAGTCCCAAGACACCCTTTAAAATTATGGACAGTCTTGAGGCACCCTTTAAAATTATGGACAGTCTTGAGGCACCCTTTAAAATTATGGATAGTCCCGGGACACCCTTTAAATTATGGACAAAGTCAAGGCGCCCTCTAAAATTATGGACAGTCTTGAGGCACCCTTTAAAATTATGGACAGTCCCGAGGAACCCTTTAAAATTATGGACAAAGTCAAGGCACCCTTTAAAATTATGGACGGTCTTGAGGCGTCCCATTTTACAATGTAAAAAAACTATTCTAATAGTTTTGTATAACATAGCAACATCCACACATGTAGATTACCCAACATTAGAGTGATTTTTTCTTCCAAAGCAAATACACTTTCGCACACTGGTACTGACTAGTATTCCAATCAGGGGTGGACTGACAACTCATGGGGCCCCTGGGCAATAGGGGATCATGGGGCCCCTGTGTCCTCACCCACACTCAAACCACACCCAAAAAAGCCTATGAAAGGTACCAGGGGCATCTCCTGGGGCCCCCTACTGACCCCAAACCCTCGAGCAGTGCCCGAGTTCTCAAATGGTCAGTCCACCCCTGATTCCAATGCTTCTCTTCTCCCTCAGTTTTTCTCCATCACTGAGCTAATGCAACCCCAGCACTGACGGAGAGGGGCAGGGGAGAGTAAAACTAGGATTCTATGAAGGCAACCTACATCCTCCTTATCAACTGATGATGTCATTGGTTGTCAGGACACCGGGGGCTAGAAGGTTGTAATGGTGCACAATGAAAACCTGTGCATTTCATTGAACTAAAGGCAGGCTTGTTGCACCCACTGGCTTGTATACAAGTTGTGGGAAATATTTAGACATTTTGCCAAGGCACCCCTAAACAAACCTCAAGACACCCCAGGGTGGGCCTGGGAAAAAGGCTGCTCTAAGCAATTTTTTATTTGTGCTGTTCTGGATAGTAGAAGTGTAAAAGTGGTCTTATTTGGGCCGTGTCCGGAATCTCCTGGTCAGCAGCTGAATGGGGCCTGGTATGTGCCATTGGTTGCTGTGATGCTGTCGCCTGCACAGCAGTTGTAGCAACTGACGATGCTATGCTACTGGGGCTGAACATGGACAATTTTGTCCACAGCATGGACACTCAGACTTTAGTGTCCCCACCACTATGCATCCAATAAATTCATGTACCAGTCTCCAACAAGTACATACAGGACTTTCTTTCAGCTGGAACATGGCGTTATGCATTACCGGCACCTCCAGCACTCAATGTATGTACTGAAAAGGAGTGCTTGGGCATGCAGGCAAAAACTCCAAAATGTCTCCTATCACCCCCAAACAGCAGCTTCTATAGAGACTCCTATATCCTAATAATATGGTTGACTTACATCCCTAGCTAGCACTAGGTTGTTGCCAGCATTAGCAGATTCCAGGCAGTAGGACTACTTAAGTTGCATTGAGCCCTCAGATTCATCTTGACTGCATTTGCTGACACTTATTTTAGAGTTCTAGGCCAGATCAGTGTCTCTGGACTCATGTGCCTTCTGTCTGCAAAGGAAGAAACTACTGGGCCATCCTGACTCCTCCTGGTTGTCTGTGTCCCTCTCTGTAGCCTGCTACAGTAAACAGTTATTACCACTTATTCATTACTTCTGCCCACACTAATTGAGAGTGGGATTTGTTGTTGCTGGGGGAGGGTCTGTTTCTGGTTGGGGGTGGGACTGTAATGTTGCTAGCTGCTGGAGGATCTATTGGTGCTGCCTGCTGGGGGATCAGTTATTGCTGGGGTGGAGCAATTGTTGCTGGGGGAGTTATTGTTGCTGGTGGGGAACTATTGTTGCTGGGGGTGTCATGTCAATTGTTGCTGAGGTGGGGGGTGTTATTGTTTATGTGGATCTATTGTTACTGCGGGGTTTTTTTTTTGGTGCTGATGGGGTCTATTGTTGCTGCTGTGGTATATATTGTTAGTGAGGGGGATCTGGAGAGGTGGAGACAAGGTGCTCAGAGGTGACTGGGGGAGGCAAGGGTGACTTGGGAATACCTGGACCTATTCATTGAGTACATACATTTGTCACAACAACATTTGTTTTGTGGAAGTACCATGGAATTCTATTGCGTGTGTTACTCTTAGGTATCACTATCACTGCTTTATAATATCATAAAATTCTTTTGCTTCTGACTGAATCTGACAAACGCTGTTTTTACAAGGCAAAAAAATTACACTTAACATGAAAGTGGATGTAATTGGAGCCGGAGAGCAGAGATATTTCAATATGAATAAATGACATTAAAATAAAAACCAACCACATGTTGGTAATTCAATCATTTCAACAGGCAGAAATCACTGGGGTAAGGATCCAGCATGAGTTCATGAATAGGTTTTCAGAAAAGTGTTTTCATTTGATAAGGCGAATAGTATGGCTAAACCTGGAATATATTAAACATATGAGAGTTCTGATTTTCAGTTACTGTAGTTGTGCCAGATAATGTCCAATGATGGCATTGTTCCAAACCAAGGTCTAAGAGCAAAGTACAATACACAAAGGTGTATTTCTGTTGTCCATATATCAGTAACTAAATTGCCACAGAATATACACTGATCAACCATAACTTTATAACCACTGACAGTTTAAGTGAATAACATTGATTATCTCATTACAATGGCATCTGAAAATCGGTGGGATATATTAGGCAGCAAGTAAACATGTTGTCCATGAAGTTGATGTGTTGAAAGCAGAAAAACAGACATCGTAATTTATTGTGTATGGGGCTGTGCTGCTGCAGGCCAGTCAGGGTGCTGACCCATGTCCACCAAAAAGACCCAGCCAAAAGTTCCAACAATGGGCACGTGAGCATCAGAACTGGACCATGGAGCAATAGAAGAAGGAGACCTGGTCTGATGAATCACATTTTACATGCGGATGGCCTGATACGTGTCTGTCGCTTACCTGGGGAAGAGATGGCTCCAGGACGCATTATGGGAAGAAGGCAAGCCGGTGGAGGCAGTATGATGCTTTGGGAAATATTCTGCTGGGAGACCTTGAGTCCTGCCATTCTTGCGGATGTTACTTTTACACATACCACCTACCTAAATGTAGCACCTCCTAGATTTGTACAGTTAGGAAAGTATAGCTGTGTGTCAGGAACCATCACGACGCATGGGTCTACACATGCGTAGGTGTCTGCCGAGACGTATAGGTGGCAGGGCACTAGGACCCAGGCGCACCTGTCGTCTGGACAGTACTAGGCAGGCACTGGGACCCAGGCTACGCCTGTCAGGTGCAGGGCGGGCTACTTAAGCCAGCCCTGCACGGATGCTTGTTGCCGAATGGTCTTTGTATCCTGTTACCTGTGTGTGAGTACTTCTGATCTGGATTGTTTTGACCTTGTTGCCTTCTCCCGTCCTGACCCCTTGGCTTGCCTGACCTGCTCCTGGATGTTCCCATTTAGATCTGACCTCCTGGTATTGACCCTGCGTGTGACCCGACTATCCTTTGCCTACCGTTTTGTACCTTACCGATCCGCTAGTTGCTGACCAGCCTGCATGACTCTGATATAGCTCATCCATCCACCCACCCCGCAGGGATCAGTAGGCTCCCCTTACATCAGACTCGTAGCTCTCTGGAGCCCCTGTCAGACTCCTCTACCCCTGTTGGAGATACCTGGTAGTTGCGACCTGGTACCGGAGCGCTCCAAGTCCATCCCCACCATCAGGGGCCCTGGTGAACAAGTGCTCCGGTGCTTAGACTCCGCACTCTGGGGAGACTCTACCAGGGGACTGATAGAGGTGCTGTCAGGCGGCCAGTTACAGTACCATTCGGCCATGACCAAGTCTGGAGGGTCGCCTTCTCCATGGGATGAGATGTGCCGACATTTGTCCGTACTGATCCAGACAGTAACTAACCTGCAGGACAAGTGTAGTCAGTTAGAAAATCGATTTGACACCCTAACGGTATCTGGAGTGTCCCCTCAGAGTCAGGCCTCAGCTATTGACACTAGGGCGGTTTCTGAATCTCCCTGCAGCTCCACCAGCCAAACCCCGCGTTCCCATGCCTGAACGTTTTCAGGGAGATTGAGCACGTTTTAGAATGTTCAAAAACACATGCTTCTTGTATTTTGAACTGCAACCACGTGCGTTTACCACAGAGTCGGTCAAGGTGGGATTTGTAATTTCTCTACTACAGGACAAGCCCCAGGACTGGGCCCTTAGACTAAGGGAAATGCAGGACCCTCAGTTACAGACCTTAGACGCATTTTTTAAGGCCATGTCAGTTCTGTACGATGACCCCCAGCGGGCGGTTTCGGCTGAAACCACCCTTTATGCCCTACGACAGGGTCGTCGAGCTGCGGAGGAATACGCCTCTGAGTTCAGGCGATGGATGGGGGACACACACTGGAATGACGCCGCTCTACGTCACCAATTTAGGGTCGGACTCTCGGAGGGCCTAAAAGATGAGTTAGCCCGGGTTGGCCTCCCCGGGTCTCTAAAGGAGTTGATCGACCTGGCGATCCAGATTGATCGCAGGTTAAGGGAACGCCGGTCTGAGATGACAGGTCAAGGCCAGGGTCAAGGAGCTACCTGGATACCCCCCAAAGGCACAGGTCATTCCGTCCCTGCTACTGTTCCACCAGTTGTCTCCACTGATGTGCCAGAACCGATGCAGCTGGGTTTGGCGCGGCAGACCCTCACTCCAGAAGAACGCCAGAGACGGCGGGCCAAGAACCTGTGTTTCTATTGCGGGGGAGCTGGACATGCAGTGCGAAACTGTCCAGTGAAGACATGTAAGTCTCAATCTTTCGGTTCCTGTTTCTTTGAGTAATATAAGTCAGTCCAATTACTTAGCGGTACCCCTTTTGTTTCAGCTGCCAGAGAAAACCGTGGTAACCACTGCAATCATTGATTCGGGGGCCTGCAGTTGCTTCCTGGACCTTGACTTTGCCCGCCAGCAGGAGATACCATTACAGGCCAGGAAATGGGGGCTCAATTTGTTCTTGGCTGATGGTTCCCAAATAAAATCAGGTTTAGTGGACCAAGAGACCCCTCCCATACTCACTACCATAATGGGCTCCCATCGGGAATTACTACACTTTGACGCCATTGCGTCACCCCTTTTTCCAGTGATCCTGGGGCATCCGTGGCTGCAGGCCCACAACCCCCAGATCAACTGGAAAACCGGGTCCCTTAGTTTTTCTTCAGACTATTGTCAGAAAAACTGCCAGGCC